AAGATGGAACTGTTGAATTGAAATATTGTAAGACTGAGGAAATGCTAGCAGATGTATTCACTAAAGGTTTATCTGGAGAAAGATGTTGTATGTTGACACACAAGATTGGAGTCAGGAAGATGGATGATTCAAGCTCTGTTCAGTGAGGAGTGTTGAAGTATATTACAATAATCACTAAAAGAACTTGTACTATGTATTTAATTAATTGTACATGTAACCACATTGTTTACATTATTGTTTATACATGCAGTATTTCTAGATTTATCTATACATGTAGTGTTAATTCTGTCCTCTTCTAGATTGCTCCATTCTTCTCTCTTCTTACACTAATCTTTATGTTTCCAGAACATTCTGTAGCTAGACTATAAATTGTATCCCAGTCTGTCTCTCTCTAAGTTCTTATTGTCCTCTCAGTTCCTCTCTGTTTTCTCTCTTGTTAATTCATTTATTTGTTCTGATTAAATATACTAAGACTATTTAGTAAGCTGTTAAGTCATCAACTGTATCTACATAAACTCATCACAATGAAATCCTGAAGATGATCACTATGTGCCCCATAGCCAAGGAAAACATCGTGCCAGTGGCCAGCGTTGGTACCCGAAGGTCCGGCACTGCCTTGAATGTGGGAGGCTGTGAAGTGAATGTGTGCACCAGTAACCATTTGATCTAGTCTTGAAGGGAGAGTATCACACTTAATCAGAGCAGACTTGGGTGAACATTGCCGATCTGGGTGTTTCGACTTTAAAGCATCTAAAACTGTCATAGTAGACGAATGATGGTCTCAGGTCTTTGTTTCAATTACTTTACTAAAAGGTAGTATAAGTCCCTTTGACCGCTCAGAGAGCCATTGCACAGTTGCCCTAGTCTTGCCCTGCAACATTAATCTTTTTAAAACAGTGACCAAATGATCAGAGTCCTCTTTATAGGCCTGGGTCTTGAGAGTACTGTCACATGCAACAGCTTCATTCATTAAACTATCAAAGCCTTCAATTGTCCCTTTCAACAACCTTCTCTCCATCAATGCTCTTATATCAGTCCCTTTCCTTACCATACGGGTTCTTTGTAATATTACAGCAGAAAAAGCCATCAGCCTTTCAGAGGGATTGTTCCCAGCAGCGACTTCCTCAGACAGTAGATCAACATATCTTCGACCAATGGATCCTCCAGGGACATGATATAATCTTCCTTTCAAGTGAGTAGCCAGTGGCAGGACCACTCACTGTCTGGCACTGTAGTACAGCACAAAGTATCTCCAAAGGCACACATGTACTGGTCAAAGTCAAAGATACTTGTGTGAGTGCTAGATGAAGACGGGGCCTGCACATTGACAGGAGAAACCAATGGCGGTGAAGGACAGTCATGACGTTGAGAAAGAGATGGTATGGAGCTGCTAGTAGTAGATTGTATGGTGTTCGGTCAGGTTCCTTTCCTTTTAGAAAGACAAGAGAAACACTTAGAGCCTGTCTTCCGGCAAGAGCAGGACTTACGTACAGCATTGGACCCATTACAGGTACAGCACTTCATGCTACCACCTTCAATTTTTTCTTATTATTATTATTATTATAATAATAAAACATCAATAGAGACTGTAACACATACATGTAGATAATGTTGTGATGGGAATAGAGGGAAAACCCTACAGAACAACAGAAATAAAGAAATACAAGAAGACAAGGAAAAGTAAGAAAAATTATTATTATCATCACTATTATTATTATTATTATTATTATAAATAAATTAATTAAAATCTCAAATGACACAGATAGATTAGGTAGGGTTAGAGCTAGAAAGAAAATAAAATTTGTTATATTTATAGAGGTAGAATGAGAATAAGAGTAATATTTAAGACCTTATGAGGGATAGAGTTGCATCATCCATTATTATTATTATATATATTCAGCTGCAGGGGTCCCATCTCATCTTGAGCCATCTGGCTTGGCTAGATCTGATGGTAAGAGACCGGATGGAGTCACCACGGTCCCATGGTCATTGGGTAAGCCCCTTGTTTCGGATACCACATGCCCTGACACCCTAGCACCATCTTATGAGAGCATTCCATTTCATGGCCCTGGGTCTTTTGCTAAGGCTGCTGAGGTGAAGAAGTGTGCTAAGTAAGATGCCCTCCATCAGTCATACTCCTTCACTCCTGTGGCAAATGAGACCTTGGGTGCCATTGGTTTATGTCCCTGAAGTTCCTCCGTCAGCTGGGAACTTGAATTGGGGAGCAGTCTGGGGAGGAGGCCTCATAATTGATGCATCAGATTTCAGTCGTGGTACAAAGGGCCAACGCTGTGAGTGTTATGGTGTCCCTTCCTGACTCTGCTCATCCTGACAATTTTTTCTTTTTGTAGTTATTTACTTAATTAGTCCTTTTTGTATAAAGTATTAGAATTGGTAAAATGAAGTTGGTAGGGAAATAATAGGTTAATTAAATCATTGTTATTTAGTAAGAAACTAAAGATGGGTTGACGCCTAACCCATCCTCGATGGTTATTATTATTATTGATAGTACATAAATAATAATAATAATAATAATAATAATGATAATTTTATTATGTCAAATTTCAATTGACCAATCAGATTGCAGAATACCAGATTTCTATGAGATACCTCCCAGGAACACTTAGAAACCTCCGGCAAACACTTAGAAACCTGGCGCTCTACGCCTATGCTCTTATTAATCCATTTGTCAAGCTTGGTGGTTTCTTTACTGCCTAGCATATTAGATATGTTGTATGTATGTCAACTCTACTTTGGTGAATAACCTATAATTAGTAGTACAGATAATAATAATGTAAGTCTAGAGTTGATCAAAATAATTATAATATTGATAATATTAATTGCATTAAAAATAAGTCGCCTAAGAGACAAAACACTAGGGATTGAAGAGCGATACAACAAAAATAACTAACAAAAATAATAATGATAATAATAAATTCAGTAAGCATCAACTATTGTAACAATGAAAACACAAAAAATCATAAATAAATAAATGACATTAATAAACAAATAAATAATAACAATAATAATATTAGAATAATAAACAATTATTATTATTATTATTTTAAAAATTTTATCTATTTTAGATATTACCGATATACATTATTATACTTTGTTACACATACAATAGCATTAATTATTACATAAATGAGTGCCTATTATATCCACCATTCTGCCAGTTACCTTATCTTTGTTGTAATTCTCCAAGACGAATTCTTTAAAGGAAAATGAAGCATGTCTTCTATGTGGCTGGTTAATCAGGACTCCTGGAGTTTCTTCCAAACTCTCAATCATGGCACTGACATCTTTCTGATTGGATGGAATGCTATGCTTCTGTGAAACCGTCTCTCTGCAAACTGATTACTAATATTTTTGTACTACTAGTGCTTTTGCAGCTCGAGTGATGGTACCAGTACCAATATTAGAGTTCAAATTTCTGAGAATCTCCTTTAGTCTTCTATTTAAGTGTTCCTGATGAAGGTCGCAGGGATTGTTGCATTCAATATGTCCAGGAGTGTTTATGAACCTATCATATGCTAACTGCTGTGTTTTGTGTTTAGAAAATACAAAAAATGATATTGTGCTAGCAAGATTACGGCCTCTTTTCTATAGTTCACTCTATTGGTAGCATCATATACTAGAAATAAAAATTTCTATATAAGCATTACTCTCTTCCTGTCACCTTCTCTTATTGCATCATGAAATGTATCCTACAGTAAACAGAGAGTGATTAGTTCAGAGGAATATGTCAGGACATCATCAGATGTGTCTATGCCAGTAGAAACACTTAACAGCCTTACATATCTTTTAATAACAAGCTCTTCAACATTAAGTGATATCACACTCTCATTCTTCACTTCTTTTGTTGCAACAACTAAGTTGGAAGTGAAATCTTTTGATAAGTCTTCCGTGGCTTTGGCACTTTTTGGGCATGATTATTTGGAACTGATGTATCTCTGACTAAATTTTTAAGTGTATTAATGTTCCCCATTTGCCTTCCTGATTTCTGCTTCATTAATCAAGCAAATAACGCATGTAATATATGCATACAGTTGAATCGCAACTGTCTGAATTTTGACAAGTTTATTTGCACTGGAAGGGGGTGGTACTCATAAAATTTAATATGGCGCTCATAGATGAAGGCTCACTGAAAAAAGGAGCACTTTCAGTGCAGCATCTTTTCTGAAGACTTCTGCTGTACCATATGAGGTTAATGAGACATTTAGTTTGCTATAATTATTTATTTTGAGTTAATTTTTCCTTTTTATTTAGCGGCAGTTTTGTGACAATATGAGTCTTGTCATGTGGGCGGTGTTGTGTTATTGAGGTTTTATAAGTCAAAGAGGAAGTCTGGCACACACATGAAACTCTTACATCAAGTTTTAAGATGCTTTATCTATCATTACTTTTTTCGTAACTCTATATGGCTGTAAAAATGCAAGAGTGCCATTGTTATAGACTTATAGTAAGGCCTGTTTGATTGTATCATTATATAAATGTAACTAAAATAGCCTCATTACTTCAGTCAGCTAATTTTTAGAATGATAATGAAATTATGATACAACTCAAAATGCTTATTAAGTGATTAAATTAAGTATCAGGTATTGTGATTTTACAAATAAACTATACAATGTTGTAGTCTGATATATTGTCAGTAATTAACTCTGTCCCTACACTATCGTCAATTTCATCTTTACTACTTGAATTCTGCTCATCATCCTCACTTTCATCCGCCGATGCATCATTCTCTTCAATGTTAATTATGGTATCACTATCATTATTACTTGATGTCATGGTATTGCTACAGTCTTTGCACTCGCATCCAGCACCACATTGTTTCCCTTTTTTCTAGCATCCACATCTATTGCTATGGCAACCACTTTTGTATGAACAGCCTTTATTTAAGAAGTCTATGTTTGATTGTATTAGCTTTCCTACGTTGTCATCTTCCCAATCTACCTCATACTGCTCAAATTCATTTTTCTTCCATCCTTGTGTGTCTGGTGCATTTAAATTGGCAAATAAGGAATGGTTTCTTGAGTTTCTCCACATTTATTTAATCCAACACAATCTTTTCCAATGTCTCTCTAATGCTGTAAGTGTCGGTGGGCGCTGTGCTCCATTC